CAAACTGCAATAGTAACACCAATTGATCAGGTTGAGTGGGGGGGGGGTCTTAGAGCCAAACTGCAATAGTAACACCAATTGATCAGGTTGAGTGGGGGTAGGGGGGGGTCTTAGAGCCAAACTGCAATAGAAACACCAACTGATCAGGTTGATTACCCATTAAACTGAATGTTGATCAGTGCAACCCTATTTCAGAAATGATCCCAGCATGTGCTCCCGATATTCACTACAAAGATATAATCTAAAGATCAGAAGAAGATCAGACACACCCATGTTGAAAATTACTTTTTTCTCACTGATTGTGTTAAAATAAATTTTTTTAATGACTCATGGCAAGTTGTTGCAATTTGTATACCCTGACCTAGTTATTGTGTTCACAAGAAATAAGATGTCTGGCCTGACTTTATATTTTCACTTTCCTTTGCATTTATCATTTTCAATTTCTCTGACCTTAAATGTGACACCTGGAGATTGACAGGTATGACACTCACTTAGTCCTGATTTCTACCAGTCCTATTCTCTCTGAGCTCTTGGTTGCCAGTTGAAAATGATTGGCACCTGACATGATAAACTGTCAGGGTACATTTTGGAAGCCCTAATCTTGAACTTGAGACAGACATTTAGAGTTTTTTAAAAATAGTCAAAGTTGAATTTCTCTTTAAACAAATTTCTTTGATCAAGAACAAAGTCTTGTTGTATTGTTTGAGGGCATGTCCAGTTGTCTTAGCATTTATTCCTTCTAATTAGGCGCACTTAGATCTCAGAGTTCATTTAGCATTTTTCGAAAAGGCTTTTATCTTGATTATTAAAAGGGGGACTTAACTGCATTGTCTTGTGCTTATGTGTTGTTGTTTTTTTATGACATAATTTGTTAAATGATTTCCTAAATGTTGTCCAAACTTTTCGTTGGTATTATTTAGTGAACACAGAGACTTCAGCTCAAAACTAAATTGCATGTACAACTCAAATGCTCACTTAATGAGTTTTATTTTAAATCACCTGGTTTTGTTTTTTCCCATTCATCTATGATTTCTGTGCCACTCACAGGTCACCCTGGAGATTAGGCAACCACGAGGATGGATATCTGATAGGTCTGGATAATTTAGTTGAGGTGAGTATCTAGAAAAAAAGGTGTTTTACATTTTGTCATTTCATGGACCCCAAGCCTGTTAGATGAAGGCTATGGGTGCCTTTAAATGCATTTAATAAAATAACAAATGAAATCCAGCTCCCACGAACACCTTATCACAGTACCGTCAAGGGGTCTGTGGAACACAGATTAAGACACCCTGAACTGGAGTAAAGTTGGCAGAGATGATGGGGTGGGGAAACCAGCCAATTTTTAGAAATGAAATGATCAGGATTATGAAAAACAACATTTTGATGTCTGAATGCTGTTGACCTCTGACCTCTTACCATCAGCTGTTAATGAAAATGGATGCATTGACTGGCTGGCCATTGATTCATTAATCTGGGCATTGACTTGCTGGCCATAGATACAATAATCTGGGCATTTACTGGCTGGCCATTGATGCAATAATCTGGGCATTGACAGGCTGGCCATAGATGCAATAATCTGGGCATAATCTGGCTCGACAATAATCTGGGCATTGACAGGCTGGCCATAGATGCAATAATCTGTGCATTGACTTGCTGGCCATTGATACAATAATCTGTGCATTGACAGGCTGGCCATTGATACAATAATCTGTGCATTGACAGGCTGGCCATACATACAATAATCTGTGCATTGACTTGCTGGCCATTGATACAATAATCTGGGCATTGACTGGCTGGCCATACATACAATAATCTGTGCATTGACTTGCTGGCCATTGATACAATAATCTGTGCATTGACTTGCTGGCCATTGATACAATAATCTGGGCATTGACTGGCTGGCCATAGATACAACAATCGGGGCATTGACTGGCTGGCCATAGATACAATAACCTGGGCATTGACTGGCTGGCCATAGATAAATAATCTGGGCATTGACAGGCTGGCCATAGATACAATAATGTGTGCATTGACAGGCTGGCCATAGATACAATAATCTGGGCATTGACTGGCTGGCCATAGATACAATAACCTGGGCATTGACTGGCTGGCCATAGATAAATAATCTGGGCATTGACAGGCTGGCCATAGATACAATAATGTGTGCATTGACAGGCTGGCCATAGATACAATAATCTGGGCATTGACTGGCTGGCCATACATACAATAATCTGTGCATTGATAAAATAATCTGTGCATTGACAGGCTGGCCATAGATACAATAATCTGTGCATTGACAGGCTGGCCATAGATACAATAATCTGGGCATTGACTGGCTGGCCATACATACAATAATCTGGGCATTGATAAAATAATCTGGGCATTGACTGGCTGGCCATTGATAAAATAATCTGGGCATTGACTGGCTGGCCATAGATACAATAATCTGGGCATTGACAGGCTGGCCATAGATACAATAATCTGTGCATTGACAGACTGGCCATAGATACAATAGTCTGGGCATTGACTGGCTGGCCATACTTACAATAATCTGGGCATTGATAAAATAATCTGTGCATTGACAGGCTGGCCATAGATAGAATAATCTGGGCATTGACTGGCTGGCCATACATACAATCTTCTAATAGTAGGCATGAAAATGTTAAATAGTGTGCCTGCCAAATTTGATTTTTGTTATGTGAATAACATGTTAAGTTTTTGTACAAGCTGTTAAGTAGCTCTAAGATATGTGTGTATGATTATGAATCTTTTGTCAAATAAATAACATACCGCTATCTGTAATATTTATTTTTAAAAAAAACATTCTGATTTTGTCGGCAATTGAGCCTAATAAAAAATAAAATTCCAAACTTCAATGACCCTTGTAAATCTAAAGTAATTATTACAATAAGAGATCCTTTTTTTTTCCATCTTACATTTTATGTTCCTTCTATTTAGATCTTTGGGGGCCTGGTAGAAAAACAGAAAGCCAGCAGGTCTGAAGGAGCATCCAAGTCTTCAAGTTGATTCTACAGAGTGAGACATTGACAGGCCAGTCAAGTAGTGCTTTCGGCCTCCCTCGTCAGTTTCTCTGAGGGCACAACTAGTGTTTGTACTAGGCTAGAGCTGTATTAGGAAAGAATTTATCATTACTTAATCCATACATTTTATTCAATGGCAAGCCTGTCCCGAGTGTCTGAGACAAGGCTTTCTGTCCCACAACTAACTCTAATGCAATGGTCATCTGATTTCATGACCATGCTATGATAACACAAAAGATAAAACAGAAATAAAAGCTGACTCAGGGGACTTTTTTTTTAAAAACATTGTAAACAGCAACACAACAGTTAATAACTTGATCAAATAGCAACACAACAGTTAATAACTTGATCAAGTTTTTGTTGTTGATGTCCTGGAAATGTCATATTCAGTTTGAATTTATGTAGCCTCTTCAAACAAATCTGTTGCTGTTTGTTGACAGGGAACAGATTTTAACTTTGGTTTGTAAGCAGTTGGGTCAATGGTAATGTCTCTAAGTCTAGTTACTATGGGCAGAGTTCAAAGAAGTACAAAGAAAACCTGAAGGTGTTTTTACTATCATTCATATCTTGAGATGTTCATAAGAGATCCTGAAATATTTATATTGAGTTCTTGAGTAGAAAGTTAGACATTTTATAACTCATTTATTCATTGTCATTGTGATAATATTTTGTTGTGACAGTGTCAGCTAACTGGGGCCTCATGTGTCGGCTAACTGGGGCCTCATGTGGCTTTCTCAAAGAGTAGATGGACATCTTTTTTTTTTTTTTTTTAAACTTATTTATGATATTTAAACACTCCACCCCTGTGTTGGGCTCCATTTAAACACTCTACCCCCTTTTTGCCTCCATTTAAACACCCCACCCAAGATTGATCTTTTTTTTTTTTTTTTTTTAAACTTATCTATGATATTTAAACACTCCACCCCTGTGTTGGGCTCCATTTAAACACTCTAACTCCTGTTTGCCTCCATTTAAACACTCCACCCCTGTGTTGGGCTCCATTTAAACACTCAAACTCCTGTTTGGCTCCATTTAAACACTCCAACCCTGTGTTTGGCTCCATTTAAACACTCCAACCCTGTGTTTGGCTCCATTTAAACACTCCACCCCCATGTTGGGCTCCATTTAAACACTCCACCCCTGTGTTTGGCTCCATTTAAACACTCCACCCCTGTGTTTGGCTCCATTTAAACACTCCACCCCTGTGTTTGGCTCCATTTAAACACTCCACCCGTCTTCAGCTCCCAAAACATTTTCTTAGCAGATAAAAATCTATAAAAAATGTTGCAGATTCTCGTGCTAGGGTTAGCACTGGCTTTAAAAAAAAAAAATATTCAGAAAGCATCCCAACCAACTTTGTTGCTGATTTTGGATCATTGTACTTTGTACCCGGTACAGACATTTTGACTCAATCATAAGCAGAGACTTAATTTTGATTACTGGAATGCGTGTAAATAAAAAAAATATATTTTAAAATCATTTAGACTTGACACCAGTCCATGCCTCACTAATATCTAATGTTATGATATCCTCATTGCACCTAGCCTGATCCTATGCTTAAGTGTGGACTGACATATTCAAGTGTTAGCTCTGGAAACACATAGGCTCTTGATTTCTCAGACAGATTTCATATCTTGTATCAAATATGATGCTATGTCATGTCATGTATCAAATATGATGCTTTTTCATGTCATGTGTCAAATACGATGCTATTTCAACTTGTCCCTAACCAACTTTGAAGGGTTGGAGATTATGTTTTTTCACTTTCTGACATATGCAATGAGCTTGACTACTGAATATGTAATTGTGATGTAATATCTCAGAGTGAGGCTCTGTTTCCTTTTGTGACCCAAATGCTGCTATTGTTTTGGAGCTTGTCTTATTATTTTGAAAGGTACCTCCCTCCTAGAACACTGAGAATGGTGGCTTTGAAATGTCAAATTAAGTTTTATGATTTTTGTGTATTCTTCACATTACCTTTTGCTTGTTATTGAATTTTGTTGTTGTCAGCTTTTGGAGTTATAGTGAAAAGGATGCTCCTCTGGGCGGTGTGTGCAGATGGTGTCACCCAGACTCAATCTTATGCCTTGTGAACATTTGTATAAAATTCACAACATTTATTACCTCCATTATTAATGGTAGGAAATCATAGTTTGCTCCCCTGAACCTTACATGTTTTTTTTTTCTGCTGGATCTCTGTGTCAGCACTGCATTGTTGATGTTTTTCAGGATATCGATGAGGATCAAAGGAGGGTTTAGTTCTTATGGTGAATTTTAGTATATGTATAAGTAATCTGTATTATTACATTATAGAAACATTGTTTTTCAAATTGTTCACAAATTTTTTATTTATTTTCAAAATACTGTTAACTTTTTTAGTCACAGCTTCTTGAAGACCAGTACATTGTAACTCTGTAATGCTTCTTTTATGGTCTTTTTTTTAATGCAGTGGTAAAACGATGTTTATTTTGGATTGATTGTTTAAAATAATTGTTGCTACCTTTGACAAGGCTGTATGCACATTTGAACATGACAGACTTTTTAGCTTTAAAAGATATCCAGAATTTAGTCAAAGATATTTGACTTCAAACTGTTTTCACTGATTAAAAATTTTCATCACTGGATGGGATGAAAACCTACATCTGAACTAGAACATGAAGATTGTTTGATCTCTGATTGTCTCAGTTCCTTTTTACAAGACAAATTTTAAAAAATATATTTAAACGTGGAACATCCATTTTTCAAAATTTTCCCTGACAAAAAGCTTTCTCTTCATCTCGAAATGCTATTCTCTGTTTAAAAAAAAGTACTTTCTTATATTTTTAAACATTTTTGTTGCTTTTAACTTCATTATTCTTTGTTTGGTGCCAAAATATAATTGTTTAGCTAGTTAGTGAAACCTTGTCAAAGTTGATGCCAAAAATATCTTTATATTTCTTACTTGATGAACAACTGGTGCCAAATGTCCAAACAAAGCCGACCAATTCAATGGAAGTTATTCATAGCTTTGTTATTTACTTATTTTTACATTTGATTTGGGTAACTTGACTTAATTTCTTTGGAAGCCAAAATGAAAACCAATTGATAAGAAATTCTCAGCCTTCATAATTATGTCACTTTTGCTTTGCAGCATTCCAAATGTTTTGATCCTCACTGATAGGAACTCTTTTAAAAATACCTTTAATGCAAGCATCTGGAGGTAACTCTGTGCTTTAATACTTTAGGAAGTGCTTCATTAACTACTTCTGCACCAATTGCTGTACCACAGAGTCGAACAGATCTTGTATTTTATAGATATTATTTTTAGATTCAGCAACTGTCATAGATCAGAATGTTTTTAAGTCTGGGGTTAAAAGAACAGCATCCTCAGCAGCTAATGACAAGACTTTTATTATTAAATAGTTCTTTGAACAAATAATTTGTCATATTTTAATGTACCTGGTCTACATTTATACATACAGACCGTTAACTCAATGAAACATCTTTCCGCTATAGAAAAAGAAAATGACATCTTTATTTTGCTTCATTCCCCACCCCCCACTTTCCATCTTCTTTTCTCCACAAATATAATAAATCGGGAAAGCATATTGTGAGAACATCTATGGAACAGATGAAAGATCTTGTATTCACTTCAGCCAAACTTGTAAACAAATGATTTTTTATTGCAGTAGCTTAAAATAATAATTTTTTTGAAATACTTTAAAATGCTTTGCAGTGATTGTCTCAGATTTCTGACCCCAAATTTTGCTGCTGGATGAAATGATCTAATAGGTTAAAGTTTGCATTATAATTAATATGCATTGAAGATGAAGTTTGAAATTTTGTTTTAAATTAACAATGGGCAAAAATGACAATGACTATGTGTTCAGGATCTTTCTTTTCAGGTTTTTGTTTTTGGAAACAATTAGATTACATAAAGATTTCTATTTTTATTTTGTTATATTATATTTTGATTGCTATCCTTGTATATAAGATTTTAACTCATTTCTTTTTTTCCTCTGTATCAAAAATGATCTTGTTTTTACTCTCCTTATTTTATGCCAAACTTTTGTTCATAGTTTCATGTTATAAAATAAGTTGTGGCTAACATTTAAAGATACCTGTAGGCCAACTCTTCTAGAAGTTACTCATGATAAAATCTACTTGGAGTTTTCTTCTTTAAATGTACCTTAGGCAGTGATTGAACAAAGAAACTTTGAAAAACTGCTTTCTATTTTAAAATTATTTTGTTAGCATATTACATTTGAAAGTGTTACTTCTCCTTACTTTTTTTTTTTAAGGAAAAAAAAATCAACTATCAACTCTTTGATTTTTTTCAATACACAACCAAAAAAAAAGGTATTTCTGGCATGGTATTCCAATCTCACCTTCCAGTTCTAGTACAGTACACAGATTATTCTAGAAAACAAGGCACCAAATTGAAACGTCATTCTAATTGAAATTCTGATTGAAATGTGTGACAAAGACACAGAGAAATAACATCTATAATTAATTATTACCACAAAAAAAGGAGCATTGTAAACTTTCTGAGCAGAGAAACAAAGTTTACCATGGGGTTAACAAATTAGAGATGCATCTCATGTGTGACTTATTTTTTATTTTCATTTTGTTAAAATGCTGTTACTCTTGTTTACATATTTCACGCACATGTCCCTATTTCCGATGGGTGGGTTTGATGTTTAACTGTGTGTATATTTTCTGATATGATTTATAAAACTATTAAAAAAATGAATCCTCCTTTTTTTCCCGTACATGCAGTATTTTGAAAGTCTACAATGTATTCTTGTTCACCAAAGAGGATTTTCTACATTTCATTTATGAAATAGCATATAAAGGATAATATTTTCAGGTACCATTACATCCCATCTTGTAATGAAAATGTTTATTCATTTTTTCTATCAATACTATTATTGTCATCCTTGTTTTCTTTATCAATACTATTATTATTATTGTCATCCTTGTTTTCTTTATTCTGGATTATTTTTTATTGATGTGAGAAAACTGTTTTTTTTTAATAATTTTGTTGTGAGGACAAATGCAGATATTCAGTTCTCTTACTTGTTACTGGAATTAAAAATTTAATAAGCCAGGTTAACTTTGCCAGAAACTGTGATTCAAGAACAAAGGACTGTTAAAGAACAAACATTAAACTAGCAAATTTAGCATTAATAGAAATTGAGAAAAACAATGGGACAAAAGACCAGGTATAAATGCATCCCTTTTCAGCTTAACTATATTAATGGTTATTTTTTCATCTAGCCAACCCACCTTTTTAGCTCTTAGGTTTTTTAAATAAGTGTATTGTAAGATAAGGAAACGTTTCTAAAAGTCCATCAAGTCAATGAATACTGGTACCTTGGAAAGTGCAACTGTTGCCAGCTCTGCAAGCTCACAGTTTTTGCTTGGGACATTTGTAAACACAATAAAGAAAATATACAGTAAACAAACACTGTTAAACAGTAGAAAGGTAACATTGTACTTTCTCTGAATAGTTTAATGGACAATAGGGCGCCATCATTATTATTGAATTATTAATTATACTCCAAGGTACCAAATATCATTTATAATAAATAAATGTGCATAATATAAAAAAAAAGATATTAATGGATTTTATCAGCTTCTAATTTAGAGTGGCCAATATTATTTTCTAAAATTTTGAATTCATACTTTCTCTAATAGTTAATTAAAATATTTGAATTCATATTTTCTCCAAGTAAGAATTAATTAAATATTTGAATTCATATTTTCTCTAAGAGTTAATTAAAATATTGACATTCAAATAAGTATTTTAACTTTCCCCTAAAAGATAATCACAATGAAGGCCATTTTTAATTTTAAAAAAACATATCTTTAAAAAAACAATTTTTTTTTTTTGGTCATACTTTCTTGAAACAAATTTATTAAGAGCTATCCAAGCTCTTTTCTTTTACAATACAATTTATTTACTCCCGGTACTGCTTTATTAAAATTAAGTCAATAATCTGTATCATCTCAATCATTGCAGTGTAAAATTTGATTTACAACTTAATAACAAAACAATAACTATTACAAATAATAGAATATGTGTTGGAAAAGTATTAAATTAGACAACACAAACAAATGGATTATTAAATTAAACACAATCTATCAGTAGTTTTATATCAGTTAATACTTTAATGAATGACAAAGTCTCCTTCTGGGATGTATTTTTCTCTTTCTATATTTTTTACATGTCTTTTTGTTAGTTGCTTTACTTTGTGATGTCATTAAATGACCAGTTTGTAAAATTTTCTGTAGTCTGCAGTGTGAACAAAAGTTTAAATGAGTTTAATTTTACCAGGATGAAGACTTAAAATTTGTTTATTTGTGTACCTCAGCGTCTATTTTTAATTGTTAAATAACTGTTTTTATGCCTTTTTATTTAAGGAAGAAACAGCTATCAGTTGATGATTTCAAACTAAAAAATATTCCTATAAACCCTAAACATTGCAACAGTAAATTATTACCAGTCAGAAGTTAACTCATGAATGACATATTTGGAAATGTCAAACAATAGTTAACTCATTCCCTCTGGCAGTGCTACTTCCGCACTTAATTTATTTTCCAGAGAAAAGGAAGCAACCCAACCCAGTTTTGAAATTGATTTACATTTTTTAAATATTTTTTTCAGCTGCTAAATAATAATAAATGTTAATTGATGACTATATACAGCCCCACTGTTTCTTTTGGTCACAACTTTTAGTATTGTCTTAGGTAGGCAAACATTAAACCTCCTTCAAAAGTTCAGTACCATACCAACACGAATTGATTAAATTTAGGAGAACACTCCTGTAGTAATAATTAGATTTTGGTCCTAAAGTTTCTTGTCTGTGGTGTTACTGTATGCTCCTGGTGATTGCAGCTTGAATGATGTTTATTGAACCATTAACACATTTTAAACATTTGTACATTTAGGCTGCTATGTTGTTTATCCACTTGAATTTTATACTTTTAAATGTTTTTTTTTTTAAATATCTGTCCTTAAAAGAATTATTTTGTTTTAAAAAAAAAGAAAAAAAAGAAAGTATTTAAAAAAAATATTAAAGCATAATGGATACAACTTAAAATTGCTATAGCGTTTTTTTAAAAATAACTTGACCTGTTGATGTGGGTGTGGTTAAATTCTTAGACCCAACTTTAAAAGACCATCATAACAAACCTTGGGAAAATGTATATCTTCTGAACAACTTTTCCATGTTAGTTATTAGAGACCATCAAAAAAAATCTAACAATAATTAGTACTGTATAATGATTGAAATTGAATTTTGCATCTGACCAATTACCTGTATATCAAAGGTCATGCATTAAAGAAACAAAATAATATTAATATCCTTCGAATCAAAAAAATTAAAAAGTAATGTCAACTACCAGACAATCGGAGACCAAACTTCAGAAAAGGTTTTGCAAATGTTTATTGATAACACACTGAAACCATCAAACTAGAACTGCCAAACATCTCAAGTAGATGCAAACAAATTGTGAGCAGACCTTAACAAAAATTCCCAGGTTTGACTTTTCACCAACTTGTGTACTGGCAGAATGAAGGTTACCATGTGAAATCAGCTTCACTATACATGGAAATACAAAAATTTATCTTACAGTAAGTAATGGAGATAGATAAAACCTATCTCACATCATAGTATTCATTATAGTGAAGTAAAACAATTTACTGCAAATTTTGAACAAATTTACACATGACTACACAGTATTATGTTTAAAAATTTCAAAACTTTTTATTTCAAGAAGTTTTCAAAAAAGAATAGGAACAGGATTAACTGCAATATTTACTCTTGACCTATCTGGCTTTAGACACAATTTTGGAATAAGTACTTATTGAATACAAAATATGGTTTGCTACAAAAGCATCAAATTGTCATTGAGTCAAAAATAAGGTTTTTCATACAGCAGTAAACTTAGCACTCTTTTAAAATCTCAGCATAAAAACAGATTCAAAAACATAATTTGCAGTGTTCACTTTCTGTTTGATGAAAAGAACAAAGCAAATGATGTTTAAAAGATTGTAAACACTTTTTGATTTGATTTTCTGTTCTATAGAATTGGGCAGGGGGATAATACTAATATAACTAATATATGTTGTCAGTAATATTAAATTTTATGATCAACATAAGGCCTAATATAAGAATTCCATTAACATCTTGAACGTCTTTCCTCTTATACTTATTTAATTCTAATGTGCTCACTGAATATTATCAATTCTGACAAAACAGTTAAATTTAAATACTAACTTTTTGTTTCCATAAATTTACTGTACGGTGTTAAAATAGGAAGAATAAAATAATAATTTTTATTTAGAGCGTGGTACATAACACATTTCTAAACATTGCTAATATAAAGCGATCTCCCATATAATATTTTCCCTTAAACAGTACAGTATTTTTTGAGAAAAATACAAAGAGTACATATTCAAGTTAAACTACTTTTTCAATTACACGGAAAACTGAATTTTTTTATTCTGAAATTCTTGACTAAGAATAACTTAATGAATATACATACCACTTTGCCAAAAACAAAGGAATAGAACCTGACTCAACAACTAATATCTGATTGCACATTTAAATTTTACACCTTAAAAATGTCCACATTCTCACTGCCAATACATCACAGAAGACTGAACTGAATAGTCAATAAGTTTCTTGAACTGCTAAGGCCAATCAAGTACATTGAGGTAAGTCAATTAGAAACCATGAACCTGTTTAAAAAAAAAAAAAAGAACTTTAGTGGAAACACAAATCATTCAACTAGCATAGCAAAGCTAGTAGTAGAAGCAGCAGTATAATTTTTTTTATAAAGTGAAAAACTTTAAAGATATATTTTAAAATAAGTCTTTGAAAATGCTTGATAGACATTTTTTTAAATTAGTGCAATATTTTTAAAAGCTGTCAGATCTAATATTAATGTCTCAAAATTATTGTCAAAGCAAAACTAAAAAAAGGGGGCTTGGCATCCTTAAACATAAAATACCCCTGGGTATGACTTTAGTAGATGCTCATGATCATGCAAGATGATTCCGTGTACCATGTTCAAGTTAGTTGAACAGTACACCTGATACATCTCAATGCCAAATGTTTTCACTTCACATAAGTCACTACTATAACTAAAACCATCAGCATCAACAATCACAGTACTAGAACTATTTCATGGAGTGAGATTCAGACTTTCATACATGAGTTTCTATACCAATTTCAATAGGTTTCTCTCTCCTGCCCACCCCCCCCCTTTTTATATAAAGAATCTTAATATGCATTAAAAGAGTTTGAAATGCATGTTTAATTTCTATCATCTGAACTTTAATAATGAAAAAAGATCTAGGGGTTACCTGAAATTTATTCAAAATAATGGATGAAAAAAAAACAAACATATCATTATAAAGTTTATATCTTCCAATTTCTCACTGGCACCTTCTCTTAAAAAACATTTAAAGGTATAAGTATAAATAAATAAATCTCCATTTAACAAATTTCGGGACACAATATCAAGGCCATATCAACTAAAGCCCACTTTTTCTTGTAAATAGAAAGATTAAAATGTAAAATAAAGATGTACTGTACCTAGTGCAATTTTACACTGATTAATAGTTATTGTATAAAAAATTGGCTGAGGTGATGATTTTGATAGCTATTTAGATGATTCATCTGTTAATTATACTAGCTGTAGCAATACAGAAGTTAAATGTAATGTATCGTCCAACTTGACCAAATATTAAGTTAAAAGTGTCATAACCTTTTCTTTTCAGGGCATGGGGGGAAAAGTCATTGGGATAGAAAGTTTTTGTTTTAAAACTCTATGTGCTATGCGGATATGATGTAGTGTTAAAATGTCAAATTAAAAATAAAATGACCAAATGATTGTTTCTCAATACCCGGGTATTAGATACTAATGATAAATAAAATCACCTTTATTTGCTCATTTGTAGCAATGCCCACTTTAATTAGCAGACTTCGAATGTGTTCACGCTGATCTCCTTGAAGCTGAATAACTTCTCCATATTCTGGGTGTTCCACAACTGTACCATTGCAAGCAAACTCCTACAACAGAATAAATTAGTTTTAAAATTAAATTAAATCTATACCAGATTCAGAATTTCAAATAAATAAAATATTTTAAAAAAAGGGACAATTTTATAACGCCAGTGAATGATCTTTAAAAATCTTTGAAAAAAAAATTAAAAATTTAAGTATCCGAATATGTTTAGCAAATTTATCGATCTGATGTACGGTAACTTAATATTATTGCAAAACTAAAGAACAAATTTTATCCTAGTGAAATTGTAACCTTTTTGGCCGCTTTTACAATCTTTTTGAAGTCATATTTGGGATCAACCCCTTGGACTGTCGTTAATGTTTTGCGGCCATTTCTCTGTTGAATACGTATGTGTATGAGAGAACCCTGGATGCCAGGTGAACCGCCCACACCTTCACCAGTGTCAGCAAAAGGATCTAGATAAAAGACACAGAGAACGTTTAGTTTTAGCTCTTTAGCTACGTCTAATACAAGATTCAATAGTGATAAATCTAAATACTGATTAATAATGGTCTTATAAATTGTCTATGCATTAATGACACCAACCTTAAACTGATTATATGGTGTGACTATTTGATTAAACCATTATTTACTTATTTGATACATGTGCTGTAAGCGTTTCATTAAACATAAACATTCTAATTAGAAGGCCAATCAACAAAACGTTAATAACTGACTGGTTATGAATAAAATGGTGCAAAGGCAAAGATCTTGATTCATATGACATGTATTTTGTTAACAAATCAACCCCTTGGCTAGGCTAAAAAAACAATAAGTTTAGCAATACAACTAGGCTGCTATCCCATTAGTCAATCCTAGGACTAAAGTTGAGTATAGTTTTTTGGCAGTGTCTACACGTCCGGCGACCGGGAGATATTTTTCCGGCGGGCATGTGACATGCCCTCCGGATGACTAGTATGTGTTATTATTCCGGCAGACATGCCATGTGACAAGAGGTCACCCGTAAAATTCAACAAAAAGAAAATGGCTGTGGCTATTGGTAGTAAACTATTATAGGGAGCTATTTGTAGTAAACTACCAGTTGCTTCTAGAGAGCTATTGGTACTCCACTACCAGTAGCTTCTAGAGAGCTATTGGTACTTCACTACCAGTAGCTTCTAGAGAGCTATTGGTACTCCACTACCAGTAGCTTCTAGAGAGCTATTGGTAAAAGATCTACCATACTTAAGTTGATGATTTGTAATTATATTTCTTTTGTTTTGTTATTGTATTATTATTAAATTAAATCTTATTAATTGTAATTGGTACTGTTTTGGGTATCATATTTTTGTTATTGTATTTCTCTATGGTATCGTCCTTTGTTAGGCACTGTTTGAACGAGCCATAAAATTAAATAGGAGATTAATTTCTCACGATAGAAGCCAGTGCGTAACAAGCAATATAGCCAAATCTGAGCATGAGGAAGGCTGCAGCAAACAGTGTTAAAACAGTGTTAAGACTTTACAATTAGTGCAAAGGTGTTGTCACTAGTATGAATTAGTCACAAATGAACGAGGCAATATTTCGCCAGCATCATAGTCATTGATTGCGGGTTTTTAAAGCTCTGATTTTGTTTTGATGGCGGGACAACCAATAGACACTTTTTAAAAAAAATATACTGTTATCTTGGTTAAAATATCTTATAAACCTCTACCTAGTAGCCTAAATTTAAAATATGAACCAAAGAAAATAAGACCAATACTTGCCACTTGACAGTCAAAAAAGGCTTATTTTAGGCTATTAAAATGCGTGAGAAGTGGCTACCCCAACAGCACACTAAATTGGCCCTATATAAAGATGTATGGTCTATTTCTTTGTGAGCTTTCGACCTCCCAGTCTTAATTATTTATCACCCTCACTATCATTTTTATCCTTTCTCACTCACAGTATTATTCACTTTTAGTATTCATTGCCTCCCCCCCCCCCGACTTATTTCCCACGCCCGTTTTTTGTTAGACTATTAGAGGTCACGTGACAAGGCTGATGGACAGATATCTCGCCCAACTTTGTTACGGTGGTCATATATTGTCTATTTCTTTGTGAGCTTTCGACCTCCCAGTCTTAATTATTTATCCCCCTCCCTTTCATTTTTATCCTTTCCCCCCCCCAGTATTTTTCCCTTTTAGTATTCATTGCCCCCCCCCCCCCCCGACTTATTTCCGACGCCAGTTTTATGATAGACTATTAGAGGTCACGTGACAAGGCTGATGGACAGATATCTCGCCCAACTTTGTTACGGTGGTCATGTGACCTGGTGGCCGGACGAATATCTCGAGAATTTATTTGTCCGGTCGCCGGACAGGTAGACACTTCGTAGTTTTTTGGAGGACGAACACATCACACATGTGTTGCTGAAGTGGAGCTGGATATTACTAATAATGTCAAGAACTTGGCAAACTTAAATTTAATACTATAAATTTTAATAATAGGCATTTGAGGCATCAGAGGCCTTGGCCATAATCCCACTGACTTTTTAAAAATAATGATAATGTTATATGATGAAATCTACTAGTACTTTACTTTACTAAGCCATTCAATTTCAATTGTTAAAAGAAAAAGGTATATTGCATACTCCTGACGATAATAGTTTAGTCTTCTCCCATATACATAATGAAAATGCAACTAGGCATACTAGCAAACAGGATGAGTCAGGATGGTGAAGAATTAAAAATATAAAGTTAAATTCGAATATACAAAGAAGACCCCTAACCAAATGAAATCAAAGGAGTTTTAGCCGGAATTTTAATAGGTTATTCTAGTTCTAGACTTTAGCCATACTCATTTTAGGTATGAGTACATACCCTCATACTAAATATCATTTTTTCATACTATTCATAGTCTTTTCTATCCATAGGTATACTATCAGAATAAAGTATAAATATTATAATTTGTTAGCTATAACTTATACTTATAACTAGTTATAATTATAATTTCTAACTGTTAACATTGAACAAAGCAGATATCAACTAAATTTTAACTTTCAACAGATGTTTAATCTTTTAATTTATTTTAAGTAAATACTACTCGAGCTTACCAACAACAATAATGTTACTAATTATTAATGAGAAGTAATTACAGACTGTGCTATCAGACTATGTCAAATGAGCTCAGTCTATCGTCTGTTTGTGAAGAACAAAACAAATGAGAACCGGGTTGTTAAGTGTCTCACTCTTGTTAAAATATTCGTCTTAGCCCTTATTTTTATAAAATAATATATAATTTAAAGTATAATTACTGAAAAATGAGTTATCCATTCAATAGGGAATACTTCGAATACAGTGAAGAAAGTCGTTATAAAAACAAAAAACAAGCGTATGTTCTAGAGTTGTTAATGGTGCCCACGTTTACTATGTATGTCAAATTTGGAAACTAAAAAACGCACTAGAAATGTGAAGCTGAAACAGGAAGTTGTAACCCAGATTCTACCGAGATTACCGGGCCGTTAAACAATAATTATTCAACTGAATGTTAAGAATAAATTATAAATTATTTTGTTTAAATCTCCGACCCAATAATATTTAAATTTTATTAACGATGCATTGATCAGTATTAAATTTGTAATCAAAGAACTATTTAACATGCGCAAGTGTTTATAATATAGTATGTAACACTACGCCTAATAAGCTCACACTCCGTGAATTAAAAAAGCCGTGCAATTCGTCTATAATACATATACTGATGACTGATAAAGTCATGAATTGATATTTATTTTTAACAAAATATATAAACATGTATTAATTTTACTCTACAGATGGTTGAGGTACCATTAAATATTTAATTTGGAAACCAGAATTCTTTCTGCCTAATTTAATAAACTGGAAGCAAACTTATTTATTTAAAAAAAACTCAATTTCCGAAAATTAACGAATAATTATGCCTATGTTATTATCACTCAGGGGCTGCCCATAAATTACATCAACAATTTTAAACAATTTTTGCCCCCCCCCTTTTTCTTGTCAACAACTGTGCCCCCCCCCCTCCAAGTAATAATGTCAAAATTTGTATCAACCCCCCTCCCCGTACACACGAAATGTATGAATTATGGTATAAATACATTTAACTTTGTGATGATCTAGGTCTATTTTAATAATACAAATTTGAGGGAAAACATTTTAATGTATCTTTAGCTTGTTAATCAACAAGTTACAAAGTTTTTACATTTAAATTTTATAATGCAGAATCAATTAAAAGGTTGTTAAAACTAAATATCATTGTTTGTTGAAGTAGAAATATGATTATGGTCAGTATAGCTGGCAATTGTTGCATGGTTTCTAGCTGTTATCATCTTCCCAAGGGAGCCAGGTGTAGCTCTATCATAACAATGGGCATAATAGCTTATTTATCATTAGCATCTTGCGGAACTGATATACCAGACAAGTCAACACCATCCTCATCTAACCATTCAACACGTAAAATAGAAGCATTGTCAGTGTGAGCAATAATTGCCATAAGCTCTCTCTGTTACCTGGCAGCTACTTGCATTGGTCGAATCCTTTTTTGTTGAGGAGCAGGCGATGATTTCTTATGCATTGTCGGTGCTGTTGAACTTGCTATTTCAACGTGACTTGTGATGCAAAAATAGATGTTACAAATTTTGCAGATCCGTTCATGTAGCGAAGTTATCATTGTTACTCACTTTACTTTACCCTCATTCTCCAAATATCGTATTCCTACTCTAGCAATACCATTTATCTTGACAGCACATGACTCTTGAACCTTGTCATTGTTCCATACCTGCAACATAACAGCACACATATCGCTCTAGACATTTGCGACAAATAGAATCCACAGTCGAAGAGAGGTCAACTTTTGACTTCTCTTGCATTAACCAAATGTGCTAACATTCTGACCAGCCATCAGCAGTGCACTGACAGAAAAACATTAAATAAATCTTATATTGTTAAAAGACTACAAGTTATATAACTATTTTAATTCGCACTCATTAAATGTGTTAAAATAATGTAATAACGAGTCAATTTTTAAGATTAAAATTTCAATAGAGGAAACGTAATTGTTGACGTCAACTAATCTACCCCCCCCCCCCTAGTCAACAATTTTCAAACATTTCCACCCCCTCCCATTTTTTGTTGAAATGATTAATAGACGACCCCTTATAAATATTTTGCGCTTAGTTCGTCATGCTTATTATTAAACCGCCCCACCCCCCTTTTATGACCCCCCCTCCCCATTTTTGTCCCCCCCCCCCCCCGAAATGTTTTACATTAATAGTACTGAGTGAAAATAGCTGTAAAGCAGCGATCTTTCATGCGTTACGTCTGAACTCTGGTAAAAAAGTTGTTTTTTTAGGGGAAGGCAACTATTCAAGTACTCAAATAGCCACTGGTATGGCGTAGGACTGTCTGTAAGACCGTCTGATGACTATTGTTTAAAGGCTGGCAGATAGGGTGTACGACTGTCTGTAAGCCTGTATAAATAAAATAATAAATACATTTACAAATCAATAAATGTAAAAAAAATCTGAGGTTGTTAAAAAAATATAAAATCTCACTCACATGCTAGCTCAGGGGTCACCAAACGTTTTTCTCGGCGGGCCGGATAACGCACAAATGACGAACATGGGTCGGATAATCATTCTGTATAATACTTACAAGCCAGAACGAAAGCTCTGGGGAAAAAGACGAAAGTTTAGTATTCCATTTTTATCATGGGTCAGTGGCGGGCAATGTACACAAAACAGACAACCAACATACTTATTTACTTTAAAAAGTTAGCAAAGAAGGCGACGTTAGCAAAAAGATAGTTACATGAGACCTGGTGCGCCCATATTCGAATCTACCAAATAAGCAGTAAAAAAGGTAAGTGAGATTTGTAAAACTGACGTTTGGCTTTCAAGATAACATCAATGTTTGGTTTGGAATTGTTGCATCCAATTAAGAGAATTGTTTTAAAATGTTCATCAGTCACTCACGTTCGATGTGTTGACGTCACATACTTCATTTTTGAACATGTTTGCTCACGGACAAAAGTTGTTCCAAACACTGATGCCATATCAGTGGCAATTTTTTTCAGTTTCGGAAACTCAACATCAGATTAGCAGCGGTAATACTCAACAAGTTTTCCTTCTCCGTGCTTCTCTTTCAACAAGTCATTTGCTTGCCAATCAATGAGCTCCAGCTGTAGTTCAACTGGCACATCATCAAGGTTACAATCAAACGGATTCTGGGACAGAAGAATGTGATACTCAATTCTGTAAAGATATTAAAAAAATCTCTCAAACAAAGCCTCTTGATAGCAGTAATGACTGGTTTAAGTATATAAGAAACATCTAAGTCTTTCCCATAGAGTGCTTGCCGATGTATGATGTAGTGTAAGAACATAGCGCCCGAACGTGCAAATCTTGAAACCGAGTTCTGATCTGCCCCGCCAGACCTTTCCTCACTCCAGCAATGTTTTTCGTCCATCAACTTTAAGACCTCCAAGCTGATTCCACTGAACGGTATATAAATGTCTTGTCCAGTTGTTGTTTCATGCATAATGCAAACGGGTGAAAGTCCAAATCGACACCACAGATAAACACGAGACGTTGTGACGCACACGGGAGATCAGTAGACTCATCCAGCGCCAGAGAAACACGAGACGTTGTGACGTACATGGGAGATCAGTAGACTCATCCAGCGCCAGAGAATACCACATCAAGCTCCTAGCTTTCTCACGTATCTGTAGCACTATGTTCTCTCCAAGTTCTTCTGTTCTCCGCACAACGGAATTTTCCGAAGGGCTGATAGTTCTAACTGCGGCCAGTACGTCTTTTAATGCCCCCGTATATTTCCAACACTCCGCCTGCTCCCTTTCACCCAATGCAGTTTATGGGAGTTTTCTGACTATAATATATTAACGGGAATGGGCTTAATTGATATTGATTCTTATTTTATTATTTGTTAAAACCAGCTCCCCCCCGTCTCCCCCACCCCCCAAAATTAATAATAATAAAAAATAATCAAGTTACTTGGTAGGTTTTTTAAACGATGTCTTCATTTGTTAATTAATTCTTATTGAAATACATCTTGTTTTATGCTCATCTGACTTCAAGTTTGAACCACGTTAAATTTCACCAGTCACTTTATTTTTTATAGTGATTGACTATGTCAATGTGATCTGTGCGTCCACTCAACATACAATACTATCTATAGCAAATGAACGTCTGCAGAAAAAAGGGACCGCTGATTGCATTATAAAAGTCGGCCATCTACTTTTAGAAGTTAACTTTTTTTGACGCCAGCTTAACTCGATCCCACAAGGCACTGCGATGCCAGGAGTTATTGTATTCATTTCATATACTTTATGATTATTAATTTACTTTTAAGATACCGTATTGTATGATTTTGAAAGGATATTGTACGAGTTTAGGAGTTCGAGGGTAAACAGGTCTGTAATAAACAAGAGCATCTAGGTACAATAATTTAAAATGGTAAATTTAAGGTGTATAGCAGCCAGGAGGTCTCCGCACGTGTGGAGATCTCCTAGTGTTCTAAACATAATATTGAAATTTCAATTATATCACAACGTCTAGTGTTCCATATGTTTTATCAAGCAAGTTCCTGTACCGTCAGCGTGCCGGATGAACTGGCATCGCGGGCCGTATCCGGCCTGCGTGCCGTAGTTTGGTGACCGCCCTATCTTATGTCAGTGTCTAGGCCCCAGTGACCACTAAATGAATGAACTTGTCTGTCAAAAGTCTTCTCCAGACAAACTTAGAATAAAATGGGAAGACTTGCTACAGATAATTTGAAAACAAGCGTATGTTAATAATGCTTAGTAGTAGCCAAAGTAGGAATAATGGAATATGTTCGCCCTCTTCTGTTGCTGAATGATGTCAGGGGAATCAACTTAATCATTGACAGGTCCTACAATTCTCTCCGTCAAAACATGGCTACTGCCCTTGGTACAAAGCCTGCCTCTCCTCGAGTTCGTGAAGTCAAGCTACCGCTTGGCATTGCGAGAACTTAGCAGTTGTTACTAGGGAGAAACATCAGTCAGCTGTTTGGAAAGAGTAAGCAGTGCAAGGACTAACTTATTCATTTGTGTGATGGTGAACATGTCTCATGTTTATATCGTTGTGTATGATTACGGTGATGTTGTGTAGGTCTGGTATCGATATCATTTACTTGAAAACATCATTAACATCCCCAACATGCACCTGGAATGACTGATTCGATATTAAAAAACCACTACACAGAAGATTGTTTTGTTACATTAATGAGTTCTTTGTATGGAGTTGAAAAGTCTCGTTGCTGTTTCTTGCATACTTATAATCACTTCAATCGCCCTCTGTTAGTCCATGAGTTTCTGTGTGCGTGCATTAGTGTGTTCCTGTTTGCCTATTGCCACCAGTATTTGTCTGAGTAAATTGATATTATTAGCACAGTTGACACATTGT